CCCATTATCGGGAGGGGTAATTAACTGTAGGGGCTTGCGCCTATAGGAAACCAGAACTTAGATCATAAAGTCCTTTCAATGTGAGGGTGAAATCTCTGGGTAGTGTCTTATCTACAAACTCATCTTCCTTCCCAAAATTTACTACGGAACTTAATTCGTTAAAACTCCCCGAAAGAAAAAACAGCAGGGGAGGTTGGGGCTGAATTTTTGAAGCCCACAGTAGCCAAATGAGGAATGGAAAGGAACTTCGTAAATATGTCAACAAGCTGATCATGGATATGAATATGAGAAATCTATAAAACTTGATTCTGTACGCAATCATGAACAAAATGAAGTCGATCTTGATATGATTTGCCCTGGCATGAAAAATGGGATTATTGGCAATGACTATAGCAAATATATTGTCACAAAATAAAACTATAGGTTGAGAAATGGCAATGTTGAATTCTTGTAAAAGACGATGGATCCAGATAAGATCTGTGGCAGCTGTAGCAAGAGCTCGATACTCACTTTCAGTTGAAGATCTAGCTACTATTTTTTGTTCCTTAACTTGCCAAGAAATGAGAGTTTCACCAAGGAAGGCATAATAGCCAGATGTTGACTTACAATATGTAGGATCACCCGCCCAATCAGAGTAAGAGAAAGTAGATAACTCTAGTGATTTAGGTAGAATTGGTAAACTGAATAATAAAGTTCCTTTTATATACCGAAGAAGACATTTGAGGAATTTGAAATCATCCTTAAGAGGCTGATGAATATGTTGGCATAACATAATAATAGCGTATGCAATATCTGGTGAGGTAATTGCCAGGTACTGTAAAGAGCCAACAATGTTGCAGAAATGTTCAGCTTGAGTAGTAGACAAGGGAGAATATGAAACAGTTAAGATTATGGAAGGAATAGGTGAAGCTATTGGCTTGCAGTTAGCCATACCCGCACGATTTAAAAGCTCAGAGGCATATTTTGATTGAGATAAATGAAGACCTTTCCTGTAGATGTATGAGTGACTTGCATGCCTAGAAAATAGAAGATTCTGCCCAAAATTTTCATGTTGAATTGATTGGATAATCCACAGAGTAGATGTTGAATGGTCGGTTCATGATTGCCCATCAAAGTATGTCATCTACATACATTAAAATGTGGAGTACAATAAAATTCTTGTGATATAGTAACAGAGAGAGATCAGCCGTGTTATGGTTGAAACCGTGGTCCAATAGATATGTAGAAAAGGTTTCAAACCATTTACGTGGTGATTGTTTTAAGCCATAAATGGACTTTTGAATAAGACAAACAAAATCATGATATAAAGGGTCTATAAATCCCGAAGGTTGTGACATAAAAACAATCTTATTTAGCTTACCATGAAGAAAAACATTGGAAACGTCAAGCTGCAAGATAAGCCACTTGTAAGTAATAACATCTTTAAGAAGTATGCAGATAGTAGGAAGTTTTGCCACTAAATTGAAAGTGTCTCCATAATCTAAACCATATTGTTGGTGACAACCTTAAGCTACAAGACGGGCTTTATGTTGATCAATAGTGTTGTCTGAATGTAATTTAGTTTTGTAAATCCATTTACATCTTAAAATATGCTGAGTGGGATGAGGAAGAACAAGCTTCCATGTTCCTTGTTTTTGAAGAGCAGCAATCTCTTGAGACATTGCTATTCTCCAAAGGATATTTTTATTGGATCTAAAGGAATAGTCAAGTAACTCATACTGATAATATGATGGGGCTTTAGTTTAATAGTTTTAAATCTTGTAAGCATGGGATGAGGTGCTGGATGTGCATGAGGAATATTGATTTGTGGTGTAATGGGAGAAGATGTTACAGGTTGTGGTGTGGAGGAAACGGGTAGAGGAGAGTTTTTAAGGGAATGAGAAGAAGATTGAGTGGGTGGTTAATGAAAATCATATGGGATTTCAGGTGAAGGAGAAGTTGAAGACTGGATAGTGGTTGGGACTAAGGCTAATTGTAGAGTGTAAGAAGAAATTGTGGGAGGGAGGAGTTTTGTTTTCTCATAGAAGAATGGAAAAATAGGCTCAATATATTTAACATGCCAAGAGAAAAAGACTTTACTAGAAGGAATATGAAAACATATATAGCCTTTAGTGGTGGAAGCATATTTACTAAAAACACACAGAAGAAATTTGGGATGAAGTTTTGAAGTGAATTGAGAGGGTAAAAAGGGAAAATGGTACCACTAAATTGTGGTCTTCGCCAAAGCCCGTATGTTTCCCAATGACACTAATTCTTTGAGATATGAATAAACAGGGTATAATCGATAGGACAGAAAGCCCTATGTTAGCTAAAGTGGATTCAAATTTGTCCCATTTGACAAATATTCATCCAAGGTCTACAAGGTACCCTTGGACGAAGCAATCCATGGCTGCTGACAAGGATCCTTTTGTTAGACTACCTCCTTTGACTAAGTAGACCAGGGACAATGATGGCCCGAGATGATGGAACAATAGGATCTTGATTAGGCCTATCATCTATTATCCCACCATCCGCTTTAAGTGCAAGATGGTAAAATTTCAAATTTTAAATATCAAACTCTTAAACACCTCTTGGTACCAGATATATGTATCTTCTATGTATCTAATTGATGATAAGCCTTAATCGAAAGTTCTTTCTCGTTACCAGGAGGGGTAATTAACTCTAGGGGCTTGCCCCTATAGGAAACCAAACTTAGATCTAAAGTCCTCGCAAAATGAGAATGAAATCTCTCGTTGGTGTCTTATCGACAAACCCAATCAGTCTTCCTAAACTTTTCCTCGTAACTTAATATGTTAAAACTCCCCGAAAGCAAAGGGAGGTCGGGACCGAATTTTCAGAGCCCACATTTCAGTTTATCATTGCTTGTGCGTGTGTTGCAAATCTAGTTGAGTGTCATGAGTTAAATTCTTCATCTGTGTACAACATGTATTTTATTCAGGTGTCATCATAATAGGGTGCTCTTTCCATTTATGAATAGGAGTACACTTTGGTTCATTTTCATTCCAAGTTTAGCTAACCGAATAATCTTTTTAAGGGTTATGAGTGTTTTAAGGCCTTGGCAGTGGCAGGGAGTTTTTGTGCTTGCAAGTAAGCTATTATGTTTGTTACATGCTCCCTGTAGATTCTTGCAAACTCAATATTGTTCTCATGCTTTTGGAATTTCATTATCATTTTATTATTTTAGCAATTTTAGATGTAATTTAACATAATTTACCTTTCAACTTATGTTTAAAAGGTATTTTTTTATTTATAATTTTGTCCTATTTGTGTCTCTTGTCAATATAAATTTTGGCAATCTCCCAGTGTCTATCATGTAGGGGAATTATTGGGGAATGCGAGACCTTTGCAGCACTCTTAAAAAATCATGTATGATTGGTGTCATGTGACTCTGCAGTCTCGGATCTTTTATTCCACTGCACTTAAAAAGCATGCAAATGCCATATGTATCTATTATGGACTTGAAATGTTTCTTTGACGAGTCAAAAAAAGATGTGTACTAGTACTTATATTTGAATTTTTCCAATTATGCTTGTTAAAGGGCACATGGGGCTTACCCATTGCTTCGCGAACATTGCTTAAGAGTTTTCCAAATGCTATAAGAAAAGAGTGCATGACTTCCACTCATTGCGTCAACAATGAAGAGAGGATTGTGGCAATGATGAAGCAATGCGACTTGAGTGGCGAATGCACACAAAATCTTTTTTTTTTTCTAATTTTCTTTCTATTTTTCCTTTTTCTTTTTTTCTTTCTTTTTATTTCTATTTTTCCTTGTATTTTTAGAGAGAGAAATGGTAGAGAGAGGTGGAGAGAGAAAGAGAGAGAGAGTGAGAGATAGAGAGAGAAAAAGAGTGAGAGTGTGAGAGAGAAGGAGAAATAAAGAGGGAGTGAGAAAGAGATCTTGGGCTTTAGAGAAGTGTTCTTATTGCCAATGTTTCTAATTGCTCTCTTGATAGACTATTATCCTTCTTGTCATAATAGTCATGAAAGTCGTGCCACTCACAGGCAATTGAAGGTTGGTTGATGTTCAAAATCCTTACAGATAACGCTATGCAAATTGTGATCACACTAGTAGCATACACCACTATTTGCCCTACTCGGGGTGTTTTTGGCCCAGTCATCTCTCGTTTCTATTATATTTATAACTTCGCCTTTGGTGAATAATCTAGCTATATTTGGCGTTTCCTTTTCTCATTCACAATCCAAGTGACAACTTGCATTGAAGTTTTTCCAATTGTTTGGTGGAGGACCACTTTGGTACAAATTTCAACTAATGAATTTTTACAATTGGGCATGGCTTGGTGGCTTTTGTAGAGCGGGTTTTCATGTAAAAATCTCATTTTCTTTATTGTGCGTGTGTGCTGGATTTCCAGTGCTAGACAACATGAAATTTTCTGCATTCTTATGATTTTGCAGAAATCTCTTTCAACATGCTGGAAGCATCTTTAGGTAATCAATAAAAACTTACTGATTAATAAATAGTTGTTCTGAATAGAGATGTTCTGTTGAGATCCTATTTTATCGTCTTCCACCTGTGTGTCTCCTTATGAAAAATTCAGCTAATTTGGAAGAAAATTTCAGAACAGGTTTCGATTATGTCGTGATTATGATAGAAGGCAAGATGATCCTGTTAGAAACTGATGTTGTCATTATGCTGAAGAGTTAAACATACCCTTAACAATTGGTGATATGTCTTAGTGATGTAATTTAAATTAAATAGTTTCTTACCTGTTAAATCCTTTAATTTCAATTGGAAGATGTATTATTCATTCTTCAACCTTTTTTTGTGCTGATTTTACTGAAAACCTTGACTGTGATATGTTGTCCTAATATATGAGGTAATAAAATCTATACTTCATGCGCATTCCCCTTCGGACATTGTGGCTTTGTAATTCTTCCTCTCCTGTATTTATGCTAGGTGTGCAATATCTCATCTTTATTTTCGTTTATATTTCTCTGAAAGTGTTGAATTTCTTAATCAGCTGGGCGCTTACCAAAGAACAATGGAATTCCGTGGCGTGGAAACTCTGGGCTACAAGATGGTGCAACACTATCTGATGTCAGGGGTGGGCTGGTTGGAGGATATTATGATGGTGGGAACAACATCAAATTCCATTTTCCCATGGCTTTCTCCATGACACTGCTGAGCTGGTCAGTTATAGAATATGGCCACAAGTACAAAGCAATTGGGGAGTACAACCATGTAAGAGAAATCATAAAGTGGGGAATTGACTACTTGCTCCTCACATTCAATTCTTCTGCCAGCACTATCAACAAAATATACAGTCAGGTAAAGGGTTCTATGATTTTGTTTAATATTTTTGTGCACCGTTAAGCCTGTGCTAGTTTTTTGATAAGAACTTTAAAATCAAAGCATAGAAAACTGCAAGGCCTGTTCCTTGTGATGCATCGCATTGCAAGACAAGCTAGCCTTTTTCCTTGTTGCATGATTGCTCTTGAAAGTGAAGTATAGCTCAGGTTAGCACATATCTTGAAATGATTGTGGAACTTTTTTTTTTTTCAAATTTGTATCTAGATAGATTGCCAAGTTACCATCATAAGTTGTTTAAATAGTGTATTTGCTTTTTTCTAAGATTGAAACATTGCACATGCTTATCACCAACAAAACTGCAATTGTAAGTTGCAATAGATAAAATACATGTTTATATCAGCATCAAATTAAACAATCAACCTGACAGAAACATGAAACTAAAAAATCCATAGGAACTTAAGACATTTAGAGCTAACATTGGCCAGAAAGAGAACCTGAGCACCCTGTGCTTAGGAAATACACAAGGATAAATCAAAGTATCGGTACTTCTGGGAATCAAAAGGGAATCATCTGTCCGAAAGAACCTTGCAGCAATAACAATTTGTTTGGGGTTTTGGCTGGATTAGTTGCTTCATCAGTTCATCTTCATTCCGGTGAGAGCTAATGGCAATAACACCTAAGTCATAAGATTCTGTTTTTTTTTTTGGAGTTTGGGAAGCATACTTATGATCCAACCCATTCATATTTAACCACAATCCGCCTAGTTTAGTTAATGGACCATGAAATCACACTTGAACCCAACTTATTTAAAGATGTGCCCATTTAAGCATTCTTAGAAATGAGGGGTGAAATTTTAGATTAGCAATTCTAGTATTTTAATCTTTAATATGCAATTAATTTAGTCATGATTGTGTTGGTGCCTAATGTGGGCTCCGAAAATTCAACCCTGGCCTCCGCTCGCTGCTTTTTTCTTCGGGGGAGTTTTAACGGAATTAAATTCCAGGGTAAATTTTGGAAGACAGATGGATTTGTAGATAAGACACTACCCAGAGATTTTGCCCTCATTTTGCGAGGACTTTATGATCTGAGTTCTGGTTTCCTATAGGCGTAAGCCCCTATAGTTAATTACCCCTCACAATAATGAGAGAGAATATGTCGTACCCTTAGATACGCGGTATCAGGCATATATTAGTAGCATGGGCTTGGGATGTTTGAAAAAGTTGAAGATTTGATATTTAAAATTAGAATTTCACCATCTAGTATTTAAAATTGATGGTGGGGAAATGGATGATGGACCCGATCAAGATCCCATGGTTCCGTCGTCTCGGGCTATTGTGGTCCCTGGTCTACTTTGTCAGAGGAGGTAGTCGACCCAACCTGATAGAAGGATCCTTGTCGGCAGCCATGGGTTGCTTCGTCCAAAGGTGCCTTATAGACCTGGGGTGAATGTTTGCATAAGGGGATAAATTTGAATCCACCTTAGCTGATAGAGGATTTTGTGCCCTATCAATCATATCCTATTGATTCATATATCAAGAATTTGATGCCACTAAGGAACGTATTTGCTCTGGCCATAACCGCTATCTCATGGTGCCACGGTTCAGATGGCTCCGGGTCATAACCGTTTATCCTGTGGTGCCATTTGATGGCAAAACCGCTGGTCAGAGGACACGTACCACGTCTTTACTGGCAGTAGATTGTTTGAGAATGGATCCTAGTGATATTTTCGACTAGACATCAGCTCTATGTGAGGTGAAGTAAATTTTAATTTGTCCACCCTGGCAAACTATTGCGGAGGATGGATGGATTTTTCTTTAAGTGTTTAGATAGATAAATTTAAATTTTAAATATTTGGATTTTGATGATTTTATGGAGTTTTTAATTTTATGGGTATTTGGGTGGAGCTTGGAAGGCATTTGAATACTTAGAATTAACCCCTCCGGTTGAGATCTACATTTAACATGGCCATCATCGGGGTATTTGATGTCATTTTCATTCATTAAACCTTGTCTACTCTATCGAGCTATCGATAGAGGGTCGGATTTTATAGGCTTTATATCTTTGTTGATGAATTTTCTTTTTTGGAGGTCTTGAAGGCCTTATATGAATGTATAAAATATGTATTATGGTAGACACCCTAATTGTATATCTGTTTGATAGTTCGAGCCGTGTCAACTCTAATCTATTTATATAGAAGGATCGGGCTCGAATTATGTTCATCTATTGACCCGCGCAACATCTCTAGATGTCATGTGTGTTTCTACAACACGCTCGTCAGGGCCCATGCGGGTTTTGTGATTGCCCTTATCTCTTTTGTGTACCTATGTGTATACAAATTACGGTGCATGTGCGTGGGAATTTTGAGATATTTAACTCTGCTCAGTTGTGTGGGTGACCACCATTTGAATGCAGTGTTCTATTTGGAAGCTCATACATGCCTTCTGTTTGCTTGTATACAAGTTGCAGATCCGATGGCGTGACATTGTACGGGTTATCCACATATTTCGTACAGGTAGATTTTCATGCACTGCTTATCATTTTCTACAAGTAAATAGTTGTACACTAATGAATCTCCTACTTTTACTAGTAGATGCTATCATCTACTGCGGCTCCCTTGTATCTTTCTTCTGTGTGTCGTATTAGGTGCACAACGAGTCTCTTTCAGTGGCTTGTAGGCATTTACACTTATTGTAGTCGTCTGACATTTTGTTCATAGATGAAATTTTGTGTACACAGCGGGTCTCCTACAAAGGTTTGTGGGTACTTGCATTTGCTGGATTCTTTATGCATTTTGTTGTGGTCTTTGGTCCCTACAATACATCTGCTACTACTGCAGGTAGATGTATTCATTCGCAGACTGAAATTGACTACATGATACTACATTTACTGAAGTCTTTCTGCATCTATCCACATTTGGAATGTGGTGCGTACATCTGTATTTGTAGAGAACCCATATGTATTGCAGATCTTCATCTTTACTTGCAAACGACGTCTCATATGCATATTTATATACACTGGAGATTTATAATATATGTTGCATATCTCATATCGTCATTTGTATGTGAGTCAATGTGTTCATCTGTATTTTTTCATTGATCACTGCTATTATTATTTTGCCTCTACTCGCAGATGGTGCATCATTGTGCATATATGTTTATGGGGGTCCACTATATTTACAACACCATATCATTGCTGCTTACATATAGACTAAATCCGTCATTGTTATTGTAAGCACTACACTATAATCATTGCAAGTCTTTTTACTTCTGCCTACGGACAGGTTATGATGTTGGCTGTCACTCCTTTAAATGTGTTGGTGAGAAGAGTATCGTATCTGGTGCGTGTCAACTACCACCGCTTGTAAATAAAATGCTTGCTAAAGACTGTGCACTTTAGCACGCGATCAAGCCACATATTCCTTTTAACTTTCATTGTTTGCAAATTTTGATATGCATGTTTGTGTATGTTGGTCTCGATTATAAAGTTGCTATCGCATTCGTAGGTGGACCGCTGTATGCCTGATTTGCTCGTGGATGCTCGTTTGTACCATAGATCTATCATGCTTGTTGATACACAACACATTGTATGTTGGCATTTGTATTTTTGAAGATATTTAATCTCTACTAGAGATTTCATATTGTTGATTGCGAGCAGGTTGTAGTTAGAGTTCATTTGCTTGTATTAAATGTTGGTGTCCATTTGAAAGTTTTGAATCATCACTTATCATTTGCACTTGTTTGTAAATATTCATCTGAAACTTCAACACAAGTCCCTTATTTTGTTGATTAATGCTTCTCTGGATGACTTGGATTCATCAACTATCTCTTTATACATCGACCAGCTAGTTATTGTATTATTAATGTCACCTTGGCGTTGAAAGTGTTGTTGTAGGCATTGCATTCATCCCACCTTGCATACAATCTGATTGGCAGGGCCATCACTTATAGTTGCCTCTTTCTTATTCATTGGTGTCCGCTATGCATTAATCTTCAATGCTTATAGGCGACCAAGATATTTGCTAGGAGTTTGATTTGCTGGTTGTAGAAGCAGCTTGACCTCTAGTAGACTATAGGGATATCCCAATATTTGTTGCATGAGTGATATGAGTGATGTTTATTCTCATTTAAGAGTTAATTTAATCAAATGCTCAAGTCATATCTCTTACAACCTTCTTGTTACTTGCAAACAAGCTACTCACAAATTCTTTATCCTCAAAGATGGATTGCAATATGTATGATGTGTTTGATATCATTATTCATTAATCTTTTCATTCCAACTGAAGTAATCACTTCTTAATCTTCCTCCATGAGTTCCATATGGTCTTGTAAAGTTCATGTACGAGTTCAAATTGAGTTCATGTCCATTATATTTAGTTCATTTGAATTTGAGCTCTCTTGCACTTAGTTTATATGAGTTATAGTTCCCTTGCATATGATTCAAGCTACAATATCAAGTTATTGTTCTTTGTCAATTGATTTAAGCTCAGCTTTGTGTTCAAGTTATTATTAATTGTTTAAGTTTTGTGCCACTTTGCATTCTGTTCAGATTTAAGTCCAAGTCCAGGTCCCCTGTTGTCCAAAATTTGTCCAAGTATTGCACATCTTCAGGTTGAATTTAGATAGCCTCCCGGCGTCTCCCCCGTTTAGCAAAAACTATAGAAAATTGTGCCTTCCCACAACGCTAAGAAAAGCGTGTATGGTAGGTGTCCTCGGACACTGTGGCCGTATTTTTTTCCTCCCCCACCATGCTAAAAAAAGCATGTATGTGTCTTCTACAACACATGTTTGAAAATGCAGTTGGCTTTCCCTGCGTACGGGTACTTATAAGTATTCTCACATTGTCGTGGGCATCGTACAGGGTTCCCATCCCATCACGATAAGAAAAGCGTGTATAGGCGATTTTTCGGTGCCCCGCGAATGTCGAAAGTCGGGCTTTGGGTGATTACCCTTTTCGTCACTAGCATCGCGACGAACTTCCTCCTACTACGCTAAGAAAAGCATGTATAAGCGGTTGTTTTG